GGCTTATGCAACCTGTCTGCCGGGGCGGCTGTATAAGAGTCAGAGTGCAAGGAGAACCGAGCTCTCTGAGAGCTCAGCATGGGCCACCATCAGCAAATGGGGGCTGCTTTATTCCTGGTGCTGTCCCATGATCACTGTCACTGCGTATTATTATTTTTGCTGAACCCAACCCTCTGGCTGCTGAGGCAAGCTCCCGGGTCATCTGTGAGTCATGCCAGGCTTCCACCCACCCTGCTGGAATCCCTGTCCTCTGGGGCCTTTAGCCAAGGCCCACAGCTGGATGGGTGAAGGTGTGGGCAATCCAGATCCCAGGAGGGGTCTTCAGACTGGTCACTGGATCTTCTCTAGAAGTCTGGGTTAGGACCCTGATGCCAACACTCCCCTTCTTTTTTTTTTTTAAGATTTTATTTATTTATTCATGAGAGATACAGAGAGAGGCAGAGACACAGGCAGAGGGAGGAGCAGGCTCCATGCAGGGAGCCCCACACGGGACTCGACCCTGGGTCTCCAGGATCAGGCCCTGGGCTGAAGGCGGTGCTAAACCGCTGAGCCCCCCGGGCTGCCCCAACACTCCCCTTCTGAGAGGGGTGACCAACTGCATGAAGATCAAGTCAGGGAGTGAGGTTGAAAAAGCTTTTAGGTTCTGGAGTCCCAGATCCTGGCTTGGGTACTCACTAGTTCAGTGATATTGGACAAGTCACAGAAACACACTGAGCCCTTAGTAATCTCATCTGTAAAATGGAGACAATATTTTACCTAGCTCAAAGGCCTACATGATGATTAAATTATGAAAAACACCACACACACAAACACATATACACACACGCGTGTGTGCATGCACTCCTAGCATATTTGCCAGGTACGCGGTAGGCACTCCGTAAATGTACCCTCTCTTACCAGGACCTTATGCAATTGTCCTATTTTCAATACTTTCTTCAATTAGTCATCAGGGTCAGAGCTCAGTGTGTGGCCAGGGTAGGGGCTCCATGTGTGATTAGGACTCAGTCTGTGACCAGAGTCAGGTTTCAGTGTATGACCAAGGTCAGTCTCCATTAGGGGCCAGGGTCAGGGCTCTCTGATCCAAGAAAACCAAAGATCCGTGGAGTATGACTAACTGGCCCTGACCTGTGCTCTGCCCCTGCCACTGTGGCAGCATGGGCCAAGCCTTCCCCCAGGCTCACAGAGGAAGCAGCACTTCCCTGTTCCTTAGCTGTGGGCAGCAGGCACACCCTACAGGATGTCGCCCGACTGGCCCCTTCCCCGCAGCCAGCCTGCTGGGACACCCCCCACCTGTCAGGGCCACTGCCTTCGGGATCCCCGCTGTGCTCTGATTGGCAGGTCTCTCTGTGCCAGGCTGGGAGGCAGGTGCTGGGCACCGCTGGGGCCCAGATCAGTCAGAGGAGACCCAGGACCTGGGCAGCAGTCCAGCAGACCCGGGTGTGGAGTCCGTCCTGCGTGTGCAGCTGAGGCACTTGTAGTCTTTAAAGAACAGAAGCCAGAGCACAAAGCAGCTCGGCAAGCCTGGGGCAGCACGGAGACATGTGGGCCCCGGGAAGGGAGGCTCAGAGTGGGCCATGGCCTGGCCTCAGGTCACACTGGGGGTCAGGTGCGTGGGCCAGATTCTGACTTTTCCTGGCCCCATTCTAGCTTCTCTCCACTGCCCCATGGCTTGCTTCTGGTAGATCTCACGTGCCCGGTGTGGCACTAAGGATCTCCCTCACTCCGGGGCAGGCTTAGGCCTGTCAGCGTCTCCCTGGGCCTCCATCATCTCTACAGCCCTCCCACGCAGGTTCCCAGATGAGGTGCTGGGGCATTGAGGGGAGAAGTAACTTCCCTGAAGTCCCAGAGTGAGCTAGAAATGGGGCCAGAGTCATTCAACAATTATCTACTGACAGTGTCCTAGCTCCAGGTACTTTGTTAAACAGTGGGGGGTAGACTGGAGAGCAAAACAGACCTGGTGGTCGCTGGTGGAACTAGAGGGGCTCCCTAGGGGTGGACACTGAGGAGGAATATGCCCGTCACCCCATCAAAGCACATCAACCACGTGGAGCTGCAGCTGTGACCTGCAGAGGTGTGTGGTCCCAGGGAAGCAGGGGGTGCGGGAGCCTTTGGCCCAGTCTGGGAGGTCAGGGAGGGCTTCCTTGAGGAGGTGACTAAGCTGGGATCCAAGGAGGAGAGGGAAAGGGAAGATGTTCTGGAAGAGGGAGCTTGAAAGGCCTAGGATGGGAGGGAACAGGGTCTGCTAGGGAACAGACGCACCCTGTATGGCTGGAGCCAAGAAAGGGAGGTGGGGGGGGTCTTGTTCCTGGGGAGCTTGGGGGGTTGGGCACGGCAAGGACCCAACCATGCGGGGAGCCCGGAATCCTCTTTACTCTGGGAGCAGTGAAAACCCTTGGGGTTTGACGAGGGACAAGATCAGATGTGCTAAGAAGAAAACAGTGGTAGCCTAAGATCAGGGAGCCTGGCGTGGAGAAGCAGCCAGATTCAGAGGAGCCACAGTGACAAGAAGGGGATGGGGCGGCAGTGGGGGTGGAAGAGTGTGATCCTCCACACCAGGAGGAGGATGAGATCTCCTCGCACACAGTACAGAGGAAGAGGGGTGACTAGGGAGGAAGCCAGCATCACTAGGGGGGCACAGGGTGGGGGCACACAGGGTCAGGCCCAGCCCTGACTTCTGAGAAGCTACTTCAGGGGAGTAGTGGGGTCGGATAGGAAGCTCAGGTGGAAAGAGGCGGAACCACAAGATGAGCCTCGTGGGCTTCTTGGTCTGGACAGTCCCAACCAGAGGGGCGCCCTATCATTAGCCGGGGGAAGGCTGCACAGGAGTGAGCTGACCCAGCCTCCCCGCAGCGCCCCCAGCTAGGGGGTCCCCACTCTTGGGCTGAATGAGCTCATGGCTCCAGGGTACTCTCAGGCCTAGCTTTTAGCTCCTGCTCCTCTGCAGCCCCCAGAGGTCGCAGGGGGTGGGGGGTGGCGGGTGCGGGGTGGGAATGCAGCAGACTCCGGCGGGGACCACAGCCAGGACACCAAGCTGAGGGAACCAATCACACGGGCGACAGAAAAAATGAGAAAATGTGTTTCGAAAGAACATGAAAGATTATTAATGCGCACTGACGAGACACCAGGTACACTGGAAGCCCCACATCGCATCAGGAGGGGCAGGGGCACTGCGGCACTGATGCTCCCACCTGCGCGCGGCTTTGTCACTCTGCGCTTGGGGCCCTGGGGCTTCTGGGGGTCTGGGTCCTCGCTCTGGGGTGCCCCCCGCCCCGGGGCTGGCTGAGAAAGCCCCTTCCAGGTCCCTGACAGCTGGGCCTCCCGTCTCAGAAGCCCTCCCTTCTGCTGTCATTTGCATCTCATTAGCACCCGGGCTGGTGGCGCGCGCCTGGGGCCTCGAACCCGAGGCTGCCCCTGCCCCTGCCCCTGCCCCTGCCCCTGCCCGGCGGAGCTGGGCGCCGCGGAGCGCGCCCCGCCCCGCCCCCGCCCCCTGCCGCGCGTTGCCATGGTAACCGGTGCCGGCGCCGGGTCGCGGCCGCGGAGGAGCCACTCGGCGCCCGCTCCCGCCCGCTCCCCGCGCCCCGGCGGCTTGGTGATAGGCAGGGCCTGCATCTCCCGGGATGATCGCGATAATTGGTTTATGGAAATAGCTGAGGGGAGAAGGCAGCTCCCTGCCAAGCCCGCGCTCTGCCACCTGTCCCTCCTCGCCCAGGAGGGGGAGGTGGGGGAGGGGAGCGCCCAGGAGCTGGGGGGGGATGGGGCCTTTGAGAGGAGCAAGTGTTCCACCTGTTGGTCCCCAGCGCACCCTCCATCCCCCTTCCCACTGTGTGGGGGTGCAGGGCTTGTCTCAGTGGCTCCTCTGCCCCGAGGTGGGTGCTCAGGCCGGTGCTGGGCGCATGGGGGGGAATGCTGGAGCTAGGGTCTGTGCTCTGGAACCCCAGTTTGGGGGACACAAGAGCAGCACCTGACTGTTTATGTAGAGTGCGTCGGCTCAGAGGTATCACTGCTCTGCCGGACCCCAGAGCGGGGAGAGCTCAACTCTGGTGGCTGCCTGGAAGAGGAGGCGTCAGGGGTAAGGCTTCGAAGGTGGGATTTCAGCAGGTGTTGGGAGAGGGCTGCGGCAGGCACTGAATGAGGCCGGGTGTCCTAGAGGGGGTTTTGGGGAGGCCCTGGTGGCTCCCACTGTTTACACAGGGGCTCAGGGGTGACAAGCTTGTGGGAGGGTTACCGCACAGCGCCTTGTAATCAAGACCGAACTCACGTCCAACATCCATACCGAAGGTTGGCTGGATGGACACTCTTGCTCCTCGATGCCTTTCTGGGAGGAGTGAGGCCCTAAGGTGAGCAGTGCACGTGGCGTGCAGGCCTCACTCAGGCACTAGGCTGTGTGAAGTGTGCCCTGACTGGAGCTGGCTGGCGGGGGTGTGGGGTGCGTTAAAGGAACTAGGGCATCCCCTGTGATAGCAATGACCCGAGAAGTAGTGGGGGCCGAGGAGCAGAATGGTCGCAAGCACCTACCCCGGAATGGGGCATGGTCGGATCAGGCACCCCGAGGCCCAGAGAGGCAGGCTCAGGTCTTCTTCCTTTGACCACCACCCTGCTCTGAGCCCAGCCCAGGCCTCCCTGCAGGGGAGGGGCCGACCTCCCTGAGGTCAAACTGTGGCCAAGCCGGCCCAGCTGGCTTCGGGATCAAGGAGTGGCCCTTCCTTCCTTCCTTCCTTCCTTCCTTCCTTCCTTCCTTCCTTCCTTCCTTCCTTCCTTCCTTCCTTCCTTCCTTCCTTCCTTCCTTCCTTCCTCAGCCCTGTGAGCGGCTTCCTACCCAGCAGGGAAGATGTCAGGCCTCACTTAGAGCCTGCAGCCCCTGTGTGATTCACACTTGGCTTCCCCCCCTGGGTATCACAGTGCCGCCCCCGACCTTTGGCTGCTCACGCGCAAATGTCCGTACACTGGTTTCTGCTCCCAGCCCAATGCCAGCCCAGACCTCTGCTCCCAGCACTACTTACACGACCACGTAGGGCCACGGCTCAGAGCCATCCTTGCAGGTGGGTAGGTGGGTGGCCCCGTGGAGAGTAACCATGATGGTCTCCTTATTAGAGGGGGACAGGTGGCTGGTGATGGGTTCCATGCTCTGGACGGTGTTCAGGGGCTCCTCTGGGCTCTTGGCGACCTGCGGAGAGAGCCAGGGCTGAGTGCCCTCCTCTGGGTGGTTGCCTGTCCTTCCAGCCTCCCTATTAACTCCAGCCCTTTACAGCTCCCCTCCAAGAGCCTTTCCCTGAGTCGTCCCTCCACCCAGTTTGGAACTACAGGGCATTTGCCTTTGGCCCCATTTTCTCCCCACCTCTGGCCCACATCCCACGCACGTCCGCCCCAGCCCTGCTTCACTTCCTGCAGAGAGAGACGGGCCTCATCCCTCAAGTCGTCTCACCACTGGGCCTCTGCTTTTGCAGGTGTTTGCGTCTGATTCCTAAGTCCTGCCTGCTTTTGAGGTACTAGCAGCAGGCCTTCCTCAGTCCACCTGTAACCTTAGGCCCTTCCCATGCATGGCCCTTTACAAAATTTATCCACATCCATGGAGTCACCTGATGCATTAGCAAAAAGAGATGAATGTGTCCCCTCTATCTTCCACCCAGAGAACCCTGCAGTCCGGGAAGGTGGAGAGGTGCCTGATGGCGCACAGGGCCTCTGGGCTGGTGGCCCCAAGCAGACTCACGTGGGAAGGAGTTCAAGAGCCCAACAGTCCACAGCTTGGGGATTCGGGGCCCCAAGGACCATGAGAGCTGCCGAGAGGAGACAGGAGCAGCCGCCGGTGCAGTCAGAGAAGGCAGCTGGGAAGAGGAGGCCTTACAGGGCTGGGAGGACACATGTGGCTGGGAGGACGGAGGAGCTGGAGCAAGGTGCAGGGCAGGGAGGGAGCTCCCACAGCTCAGGGCAGGCTCGCGTTGATTCTGGAGGCACGAGGACTCACGGAGGGCAGCAGAACCAGCAGTTTGGGAGTAAACACTGTGGGCTGGGGACAGCTGTGGACCTGTGCTGCTGTGGCTCGGGCTGCTCTTCCTCTGCACTGGCTGCTGGACTCTCACTCCCAGTGCCAGGGCTGGACGTGGGTGACCCACATCCACCCGTGCTAGTCCTCACCTGGCAGAGGCTGCCCCCGTCCTCATCCCTCTGCTGATCGATCAGCACTAGCTGATGCGAGGGGCCCCCCTCCTGGCCCCAGGAGAGAAGCCAGGGACCTCCTCAGCTTGGAGATGGGCCCCTGAAGGGGGTGTGAGGGTTGCCCTTTTATCTAGAAAGTTCGGCCTGTCAGAACCTGTATTCCAAGGCAGGCCCTGGTAGGGGGAGTCCTCAAAGTAGGACGCATCCATGGAGATCAAGAACAATGTCCTGGGTATGCCCGCGTGGCTCAGCGGTTGAGCGTCTGCCTTTGGCTCAGGTCCCGACCCCGGGGTCCCAAGATCGAGTCCCGCATCGGGCTCCCTGCATGGAGCCTGCTTCTCCCCCTGCCTGTGTCTCTGCCTCTCTCTGTGTCTGCCTCTCATGAATAAATAAAATCTTTAAAAACAAAACAAAACAATGTCCTGTGACAGAGGGGAGACGGAGGCCAGGAGAAGAGTAAGGACCCAGTTCTGGGGGTGGGGTGGGCGTCGGTGGATCCCCTGGCCCAGTCCTGATGCGCCCTGGGCGGAGGGAGAGCTCTGGGCCAGTCACGCTCCGGGAGGCCGCTTCCCCAGCGGGATGCTTCTCCAGCCCTGCTTCAAACCGGGTCTAGACTCGGAGCCCTTCTCACCCTTCTCACCCTTCTCACTGTTACCACCAAGCACTCAGGTGCGTGACACTGGATTTCCGCGCCCCTGACTGCTTTCTCACTTCCTCTCCGACCCTGCCTCTGCCCGGCCCATCTCCCGGAGCAGGCCCGTGATCCTTCACAGTCCTTCACAGTCGAACCACATCTCTCCTCTGCTGGAAGCACCAGCTCCGGTCCATCCAGAGCTTCGCAGTGGCCTGTGAGGACCTGTAAGTCCCGCGAAGGCCTGTAAGGACCTCTGGCCGTGGAAGCCGCCCTCACCTCATCCCCGGGCCGCCTGCCCCTGGCTCCAGGGGTTTCTTGCACACCCCAAGCTGGCTCCTGCCTCAAAGCCTTTGCCAGGCCGTTCCCTCCTCCCCTGCACGTCCATTCCTGTGGCTTACTCCCTCACTTCCTACAGGTCTCACCTTATCAGAAAGGCCATCTTGGTACAAACTGTGGTCCTTGCCTAACAAGATGACTAATTAGGAGGTGAGAAGCCCACCTCCCAGGCCCAGAAGTGCCACCCTACAGAGGCCCCTTCCCTCTGACTGAGGAGTGCCCCTTGACTAGGGCCCAGGGGGGCCTGTCACCATCTGGAGAGGTGTTGAGAGTTACTCCTCCCCCCTCCCTGTTCCCTGAGCCAGGCCAGGGTGGGAGGAACAGAGGGAGGTCAGTGCTCAGAGAGAAACCCTATGGGGTGGGGGGTGGGGGTAAGCAGGCACAGGGCCACCCCTCCCCACTCATAGATCAGAGACGCTCCCTTCCTATGTTCCCCGCCCCCCCCACTGTGTGCTCCCCCATAACCCACTCCCCTCTCCAGCACGCTTAGTCTCCTGGTTCAGCCGTGCGGGAGCAGACCAGCGGCCCAGGGTGTTGAGAGAGGTAGGTTTCAGGCCAGCTCTGCCCTGACTTCCTGTGAGGTCCTCACTTTCCCTCCTGGTCAGTGGGGATGTCTGGGATGGTTGTAATTCAGTCTTCCCCGTAACTGGCCTATGGTTCCTGCGGTGAGGCCAGGAGAGATGACTAATGTCTCTCCCATGGCCCAATTCCCAGGAGCAGCCTAAGAGGGTGGCCCCATCCCCCTTGTTGCTGTGTGGGTACGGGGCCTGTCCCCAGCTCCCTGGGGCCCCAGAAGTGAGGGCCCAGCAGCACGGCAGCTGCCCAAGGGCTCTCACTGACTCTCTGGTAGCCCCGGAGCCCAATCAGTGATTTTGCAGACCGGGCCCATGAATTGCGGCCCCCTCTCTGTCCCCTACTTGCTCTGGGACAGCCTTCTGGGAAATCAAGCTTCAGCGGGGGGGGGGGGGGGGGGATTGATGGAAACTGCTGGGGCTTCACTTCTGGGCGGGAGGCCAGCTGCCAGGCTGGCACCTCCTGGTGAGGCCTGCAGGCATGTGCCCGCTGGGCTGGCTGGGCCCAGAGCCAGGGAGGCCAGGACCTAAGTGTGAGGCCTGGAGTGGGGGCTGTGAGCCAACCTCCCTGCCTCCCCTTCCTCCGTCTGGATGAGGATCTGCAGGCTTCCCTCCGAGAGGTGCCTGCATCAGGACCAATGCTCCCTCCCACCCCCGCTTCAGTTTTGCAGCTGTGTCATAAGGTTTTGAGTTAAAAAATGATCCTGCATGTTCCTTCTAGTTTCAGCATCTAAACTTCCTTGGGGATTGTGATGGCCACAACCTAGGTGGGGAAACGGGCTCAGGGAGGCAAAAGCACTTGCATCTGGGTGCTCGGCTCAGCTCGCAGACATCCCTGCTCTGCTCTCTGGATGTGCTGAGCTTTCTATGGGCCACAACACGCCCTTGGGCTCCTGACCCGGGGAGCCCGTGCTTGTTAGTGGGAGCAGTAGGAGTTGTGCTATTCAGGGAGAAGAGGCTTTTCCGAAGATGACACAAAAGTCAGAACTCATAAAGGGAAGGACTGACGCTCTGATTCCATTAAATATCCATGCCAACTTCTGTAATAACCGCCAATTCACCACGATACGAAGGAAAGACAAACAGGAGAAAATATTTGCAATATGTATAAAAGAATGAATTTCCTTACTACACAGAGAGCACTGACGTCTAAGATCTATGGAAGATTCACGCAAGAAGAAATGTGACTGCGCTACCGTGTACGTGATATGAACGTCCTTACGGGGCATTCTACTCAGTCATTGAAAATGTTCCACTAACTTATGGATTAAATGAAACAAATCTGTATCCTTCTCAGGGCTCCCATGCATGCTCCTCGGATCCCCAAATCCAGCTCAGGTGGGCAGGTGAGAATGAGCGTCAGGACCAGATGGCCACTTAGCGCCCCTGACATTTAGAAAGGAGCTGAGAGGGGGAGGGAGGAGTCAAGGAGAGGAAGCAGCTGTAGGGAGAGAACGCCAGGAACCACAGACACCAAAGTCAAGGGTAATAAAGTAGAAACCACAGTGGGGCACCTGTAGCTTATTTGGTTTGAGTCTAACTGCAAAGAGGCTATTCCCAAGCTAGCAAGTATCTGGTGCCTTTGGTCTCAGCTCACTCTGCCCTCCCTGTTGGTACTTGGCACAGTCAAGGGCCTTGGCTCTGCCTTGACAGTCAGCAGAGGGTAAGGAGAAGCCTCATACTGAACTGTTTGCATTTTTAAAAAAGATTTATTCATTTTTTAAAACTGTTTGCATTTCACGGCACTGGGATCTTCGTTCCCTCCTGGCAGGGTCTCGCTGCTCTGTTCCCGCTATTTATTAAGCACCTACTATGTGTCAGGTGCTGTGCTGAGTGTTGGGGATGCAGCAGTGATCGAAACTGACCAGAATCCCTTCTTTCTAGGAGTTGAGCATCTGTGGCCTGGGGCAAGGGTCTGGGCCCTGGCTGGAGGGGCGTAAGATAGTGGAGCTTTGGCAGTCCCAGGGCAGCAGCCTGGGAATCTCCTCGATCTTGGAGGGTGATGGGGAGCCATCTCAGTGGGGTCTCGGAGCCTCCGTGACAACGGGGCAAAAACTCTTTTCCAGGCTGTTGGTAGGGGAAGGTACCAGTTGAAGCTACATTTTTCCCTGGGTCATGGGGATACCAGGCAGAGACAACGAGGTAAGGGTGGCGGGGGCTGACAACACCTGCAAGCATGCCGAATTTCAGATCCCATGTGGCCCAGGAGTCTAGCATGCCTAAACTTGGAAGCATCGCAGAGACCTCCTTGCTCTCCATTTCGCAGCTGAGAACACTGAGACCCAGAGAAGGGAAGCTTTGGTCGTGATTTAGAAGCAAATACAACAAGGGACTTTGAAGGAGAGATGAACTCAGGCAAGCGCAGGACCCATGCCCTCAGGCCTCACCTTTTTCTTTTTCCGTCCCATCTCTTCAGGGGCAGGAGTGTTTGGCCTTGTTTACCGATCTTGGGGCCAGTACCTGATATCCGTGGGCAATCAGGCATCAGTCCTGTCCAGGCAGCTGGCCTGAGCACCTTGGAGCCTTTGGACTTGGTGTACGGTAAGGAGCGTCAGTGTTGTCTCAGGGGTGCCATACACGGGCTCTGGGACCTGGACAGGGTAACAGGCAGGGGGACAGGCAGGGCCGGGGAGGAGGGCAGCCTGGAGCTTTCTCAGTAGTGAGACATTCTTTAAGTGCAGTTGGCTTCAGGCCTCTGGGCCATGACCAGCTCCATAGGGTCAGCGACTGGACCAATTGGCTCTCGGTACACCCAGGAAGGTAAAGACAGGGGTTTGCCTCTCTCCAAGCCTGGAAAAGCTATGAGCTCTTCCCCCTGGCAGGATCACCTGGGCAACGCTGTGTGACATCACAGGGCAGAGCACAAGTCACCCAGGTAGAGTCCAGGTGAAGTGGGGTGGGGGCTCAGAAGCCTTTCTCCGTGTTTTGGGAGCTGGGTTTTGCCTGCATTGTGGCCCTCACTCCTCACCCTCCCTGCTCTTTGTACCCTGAACTGCACGTCCACCAGGATTCACCAGTGGCCCAGCCCGGTGGTGGAGGCTGAGACCCTGCTCGCAGGAAGTTACAACTTGGCTAACAGCTATTTTGGTTAAAGAATCTGCAGCCGTTCTGCCTCTTTGGGTGCCCGTAGTCTCTCATTTGTTTCATTTGTTGAATAATCATAAACACAACGTTGGAGAAAATGGTTTCATTTGGAGGCTGAGTGGGAAGGTGGCAGAGAGAACAGGGATCAAGGAGGTATGTTATCGTAACGCCACTTACATCGGCCAGTTAATGGGTGTTCATTATATCATCAAAAATAAATTATAAATAACTAAAGAGAGCCAGCAATGTTCTGGGGGATGGACCCAGTATTATGACTAGTCCAATTCTGAGCTCCATAAGGAATTATTACAAAGATAACTGTTCTTTTTACGTAGCACTTACTATGTGCCAGGCACGGTTCCAAGTGCTTTTCTGTGCAGGGAGAGGCCAGAATGAGGGGTGGCTGGCCCCTGGCCTGGGGTGAGGTCGGCTCCACGGAGATGCTAGGCAGCATGGCCAGGAATCCTGGGCTAGGAAACATGAGATCTGGGGTACTAGGTGGGGTTGACAGGCATCTGGAAGACTTCTGTGGCCTGCCTCGTTCTCTGGCCAGCGGTTTTAGACTCCATACTGTTTTTTTTTTTTAAGATTTTATTTATTTATTCATGAGAGATCCAGAGAGAGAGGCAGAGACACAGAGAGAGGGAGAAGCAGGCTCCATGCAGGGAGCCCGATGTGGGACTCGATCCCGGGTCTCCAGGATCACGTCCTGGGCTGAAGGCAGAGGCTCAACCGCTGAGCTCCCCTATGCGTCCCCATACTAAGTGTTCTTTCCATTGTCCTGGGTCTGGGGACCAAAAGCAGGCCCACTCTGGCAGCAAGAGGTAGGAGCTATGGCTTTGTGGAGACCTGCTCCTTCCCCCTGCAGCCCTAGTCTAGAGAAAGGCAAGGAGGATGTGGCTCTCCTCAGTTTCAAGACAGAAAAACTAGGCCTCACCTCCCATTGGAACTGGAAAGACCAGCCAAGCTCATCCAGATGGCGGAGGCTGAAAGCGGGGAGTCGCACTCCCAGTTTTTTCCCTTCCAGGCCTGCCTCCTGGGCTGATAATGTCACCACCAGTCGGGTGCACGCGTGGACAGGGTCTTGGTGATGGCTCCCAGCCACCCTAGGGTGCCAGCTCCTTCCTGTTAGTTCCCAAGGCTGCAGCAGGGCTGGGGGAGGCCAGCAGGGTACTTCGGGAGCAAAGCTGAAAGAGGCGCCGGCTCTCGGCTCTCGGGGCTGTGAGGGCGCTCCTACCACCACCGTCCGCAAATCCTGCACCCTAGCCCCGTCCCTGCATTACTGTGGCCCCTAGACCTGCCCTGCCTGGACTCGGGGTGCTCACCCAGAGAGAATTTTGTGCCCGGGGAGCCCCAGCCTGCTGGCCTTCCTGCCTGGGAAGAAGATAATGCAATTGGACTCTGGTTCCAGGCCGTCTGGCTCCAGCGTGCTCACGAGCCTGTGCACTCAGCAGCCACCAGAAGGGCCTTCCTACCACCCCCCTGGAGGGCTGCCCGCGCCCTGGGCCAAGGACCCCTGGGACACTCGCTCCTGTGCCACACGAACCCTCCCCCAGAACTGCTCCTCCCTGGCCAGTGAGAAGGCCATCAGCCCAGGCCCGGGACTGCCTGTGGCTTTCCTACTTAACGCAGCCACGAGCCCCTCTCTCCCTGCCTCCCCAGCTCGTCCTCTGGCCTCATGGCCCTTCCCCGCAGCGGAGCTCTGGTTCCCCCAGCCAAGGGAAATGAGCCGCACCCCAATGCCCAGGGGCTGGCGCCAGGCTCTGAGGACTCGGAGAGATTCCAGCTTGAGGGGAAGCAGGTAATGAGTGATCTCACAGCTAATAGGTAACCCTCCCCGCCGCCCCCCTACTTGGAGCAGCCTGGTGGCCCGGCCAGGGGTTAAACGGCCATTTAGGGAGCCCACAGCTACGGAGGGCGAGCCGTTGGGCTGCATCTGAGGCTGGCCCTTGGGGAGGGAGGGGTCCTGCCCTCCCGCCTTGGCTCTGCTCTGGGCTTGTGGGCAGCAGGAAGAGTGTAGACAAGTGGTTCACAGCTGTCCACAGTCCCTCCTGCCACGTCCCAGATGTCCCTTGGGCCTGAATATCCGTGCAGCAAGTCCAGGGAAGTCTGTCCCCCAGAGCCGTCAAACCTGGCCTTCAGTTCCCCGTGGGCCTGTCCCGTACCCCTGGACACACACACAACCCCGCTCCTCCTCCCCTCCTCTGTACCCCCCCCCCGCCCCCATCACTCTCTCTTTATTTCCTTTGGGCTGATGCATTGGGCTTAGGTAAAGGATGACGGGGAAACTGAGTGTGATTCCGTAGCAAATGGCAGCTTAGAGCCCTGTGATCTTGGTTCAAAATACTAACCCTCTCTGAGCTTTGGCCTCCCTCCTCAGAGTGGGGAGTCGGTGCTTCTGGGAAGACCGAAAGAGGCAATGCAGGTACCACACGTAGCACTGACGCTCAGCGGAGCACTCCAAAAATGCTCCTCGTTCCCTTGCTCAACAGACTGAGGCCTGGAAGGTTCTCCCCAGTGGACACGGGCCAGAGAAGCAAAAAAAAAAAAAAAAAAAAAATGCCTGCAGGGTGAAGTGCGTGCCCTCTGCCAGCGTGCAAGCCTTCTTGCCCTGCGCCCCCGGCTTCCAGCCCCAGCTGCCCCTCTTCTGCCGACCCACCCCTGGCTGGCTTCCAGGCCCTTCCTTCCGCAGCCTTTCTCCAGGCCGACATGTCAGCAAGGCCGCCTGCTTTCCTACCTCCATTCCATTTGTCCTCAGGGTCTGGCTCAAGACACTTCCTCCGGGAAGCCTTCCTGACTCCCTTCTTCCCCTGCTCCGAATGGTCCTCTGTGTCCCTGGTGACGCCTGCCTGTGTCTATGCTACAGAGTCCCTGTCCCTCCCCTGGCATTTGACAGTTGTCAGCTGAGGCAGTTCTCTTGAAGGGTCTGCATCTCCAATGCATCTCCAAATGCCGAGGCGTGGCCCCGGCCAGAGTGGTATATGCAGGGGGGGGGGGGCGGGGGCTTGGGCTGAAGGAGGGTGGACATCAGGAGGGCCCCTCCTGCAATGCTGAGTCCGCAGCCCGCCTTGCGCCTTACCTTACCCTGGGCTCCGCTCGGCCCTGCAGTGAGCATCTGGGCAAGCCTCTGGACCCAGCAGGGCTGCCATTCCTCACCTGCAAAGCAGCCAGGATGTTCCACCTGCCGGGGCCTGGTGAGGGGCAGGTGCTCTGAACCCAGCTCCCCCTGACGTGTGCACCAGGGTGCCCCGACCTGAGTCCCTGTGGCCCCAGCCTCGCAGCAGGGGATTTGTAACCGGCATGCCACTCCCCTTACTGGCTCAGCAGGCACGGTTATTTACCGCCCTGTTGAAGGAGGCTTCCCGGAGCTGGGGAGCCAGAGTTTTCATCAGGGGCAGCTCCGGGCCCATCCTCACTCATGAATCACTTTGCTAAAGATGCAACGTGGCTTTGGGGCATTTTTCTTTTGAAAAGTCAATAACTCGTTAACAAAGAACTAAATAAGGGGGTGAGCATAGAAGGCCACCTGCCATTCCCTTTAGTTGGTGTGGAGTGCAGAAGCCAGCCCTGCTAAGATGTGGGGGGGGGCACTCAGGCCCTCCCCTCACCCCGACTCTTCCACCCACAAATCTGACCGAGTCCCTCCTCTGCCTCAGTAAACATGTCAGGAGGGCTCCACTGCTCTCAGGAGAGACTCGCCTTCTCCCACAGGCCCCCCGAAGGCCTCACATCTGCCCAGCCCGGCCTCTCCAGCGTCAGGGCGGCCGATCCCCACCTCACACCCATGCTCCAGCCACATGGTGCCTGCAGTGCCCTGAATGGGCTCCCTGACCCTCACATATGCTGTTCCATCTGCCTGGACTGTCTTCCTCCCTCTGCCATCCTGAATAATTCATGACGCCTGTTTGAGACACAAATGGAACAATCTCTAGCAAATCATCCCTGAAGCCTGCCCCCACGGCCCCCATCCCCACCCAGGAGCATTGGATTCACAGCCTCTCTGTGCCCAGGCTTATGACCCACTGTTCTTTTCTGGGAGAGGGTCTGTCTCCTCTGAGGACAAGAACTCCACCTGGGGGTGCCCCCTCAGCGCCCAGGCTGTTGCCTGGCACAAGCTCGGTGCCAGGTGGGTGCTCATTGAAAGAGTGAAGGATGACATCAGATGCCTTCCTCCCCATAGTTCTCCAGGAGCCCCCATTTCAGCTGAGGATAATGGTGTCTGCCTGCCAGATAATCCTTCTTCCTCCAGAGTCCAAGTTCTCTGTGGCCTTCTCGCCCTCCTAGGGCACAAATTGTTAGTGTGTGAACCTTGTATTAAAAGCTGAAAAGTAAGGGACACCTGGGTGGCTCGGTGGCCAAGCATCTGCCTCCGGCTCAGGTCGTGATCCCGGGGTCCTGGGATGGAGTTCTGCATCGGGCTCCCTGCAGGGAGCCTGCTTCTTCCTCTGCCTGTGTCTCTGCCTCTCTCTGTGTCTCTCATGAATAATAGTAATAAAAAAAATCTTTAAAAACTGACAATTGACAAGTACTTGCTGTGTGGCAGGCCCTATTCTACACATTTTACATATGTTACTCATTTGTTGCAACTTGTCCTGGGGTAAGTACTACTCTAGTCCCCATTTTACAGATGAGAAAACAGAGGCAGAGGCTGGAGCAGAAGAGCCAACCTTCAGACCCAGGCCATCTGGCTGCACAGTGTGCTTGTAACCATAGGCCTCGCCCTTACTGAGGTGCTTGTGGGGAGTCCCCCCCCCCCTTCGGGGCTGGGATGATCCAGCAGGCCCGAGGAGCTCGCTCGGGTTACAGGAAACTGCTTATTCAGGCCTAGTGGGCCTGGGATCCCTGATTCCCTCCCTCTCCGGCTCCCGTCCCTCACCCACATGGCCGGACCGTCTCCACCAGAGAGCACAGCCTCTGGCCCTAATCTCATTTGAGGCCATGAAATCGCATTTGCAGCGTATTAATGCAGCTCAGCGCTGGCCAGCCCCGCCCGGGTCCCGGAGGACCGGAGCCTGCACAGCACTCTCGGGAGGCGGCTCCCGGAACACCCGCCGACAAAAAGCAATTATGCTTTAAGAGGAAGATTAAAATAATATCTCCCCACCCCCACCCCAGGGCCTCAGCTCCGGGAGGCCCCCACCCCCTCCCAGCAGTCAGTCAAGGGCAGGCTCCCTGCTCAGCAAGGGGTGGGGGCAGACTCCTGCTCCTCACCTGACACCCCCCCCATCGCCCCCAAGTTCCCAAAGGAAGCCAAGCCTCCGGGCCTTTGCCGAAACGTTCCCTCCCAGCCCTGTCTACCTGGCAGGCCGCCATCCTCCAGCACAAGGATCACAGCTAGTGTTCCTGGAGCACTTCGTGTCCTCTTTAAATTTGCTGCAAATTCAAGTCAACAATGTCAGGGGAGTCGTGCCTCCGCCATCTGACAGGAGGGAAGGAGGCAGAGCAGGGGTTGAAGGACCAAGTCTTCACCCTTTCCCCCAGGGTAGGCTCGGGGCTTCCCCTCTGACCTCCAATGACCGCAGAGGCCTTGCTGGGGTCCCTTGTCTCCTGGGGAGCCCCGAGAGGCCAGGCCTGGCCCAGAATCGGGGCCTCACACAGAAGAACCCTGCACCTCCCGGCGGCAGCAGAAGGCATGTGGATGCGTGTCCTGCCGCCCCTGCCTCAAGGCTGGACCCGCGGTGCCTTCCAGTCTGTCTCTGTTCTGGAAGTCTTTGGAATCTCCTCTCCTCCAGGAAGGGCTGCCGAGTTACAGTCAGGCTGGCAGATGATTTAATCCTCACAATCACGCCGCGGAGTCAGCATCGTTACCCCCATTTTACAGAGGAGAAAACAAAGGGTCAGAGAAGCAACTTGACCAGAAGCACCGGGTATGGGGCAGAGACTGGGATCTGAGGCCAAAGCCCACGTTTCTCCCCTGCACCTTCTCAGCTGTAACCCTCCTGCACCCCTCAGCGAAAGGGCACGGTTCTGTCCTGGGACTATTGACGCAACACCTTTTTCTCCCTGGCAGGTGCCAACTCCAGTGGGCTAGGAGGGTTGCCTGGGGACCCTGAGCCATTGACAGCCCCAGCCCCATCCCCAGTCCTGCTCTCCAACCACCCAGCACCAGGGGCACAATGGCTCAACTTCAGGCTCCGTAATCCGTCTTGACTGGACTTGGTGCCATATGGGGCCACTAGGAAGAAATCTGTTCCCCCAGACCACTTCCCCTTGATCCTGACACATGCTTTAGAAAGCCCGTCAGAGTAGGAGTCTCCCTGGGAAGGCATGTCCCCCGTCATTCCCCCCTCTGTGCTGAGTACTGCCCCTGAGAAACCCAAACACGTGGGGGCTCCTGGATTCCAGCCTGGCTTTGCTACGGACCCAATGAAGAGCCGCAGGCAAGCGGTCACCTCCTCTAAGGACTCAGTTTCCTGCTCCAGAAAATGGACGGGATGAGAGCTACCTGTCCCATCCCACCCCCAAGACCTTTATGACGCATCAGTGGGCTTCGCAGTGTCCCCCTTTGCCAGCCTGGCTCAAAGCAGTTGCTAGCAGAGGCTCAGGGTCCTCGGAGCAAGCACACCTGCCCTCTGTTCCCTTGGCATCCCTGCAACTCCCCGCCCCACAGAGATGCTGTCCCCACTTCTTCCTTCCTCCCTGCTTGCTGTTCCCTCACACACCTCCACGTTCTTCTTCCACACCCTTGCTCACACTGTCCTCTCCACTTGGAAACCACTCTCCTCACTCTCTCTTGGAATCCCACCCATTCTTTGAGAAGGGATCAGATGTCCCCCTGACATTTGTGAGGTGGGTTTTGACGAACCAAGCAATTTCCCGCCCCCTTCCTCACCTGACTTCACAACCTCACCGTCAGTAGGCACTGCTCTGCCCATTGCACAGATGAAGAAATTGAGGCACCATTAGGTCAAGTGGTTTGCTCCAAGTTACACTGCAACGGAGACAAAGGTCTAGACCAAGGTCTTCTGACTCCTGACCGGAGCTGGTTTTCCTACAGCAGACCCAGTCCTTGATCACCCAGTCATGCCCATCGCTTCCTCCCAAGGTCCTCACTGTCAGCTTGGAGAGTCACTGTCCTCCTGTTGCCTCTCCTTGCTCAGCCTGGAGGCTCGCCGAGGATTCGGGGACACAGCTACCTTGTTTACTGCTGGGGTAATGGATGAATAGACAGACAGATGGATGGATGAACACCCTGGGCCCGGGGAGGTTGCACCACTGGGCTCCAGGGCAGGCTATCAGATCCAGAGGGAAGAGGGAAAGCCCCACTTATTCTCCATCTGTCTGGGGAAGGGGCTGGGCCCTGCTGGCTTCAGCTGCTCCTGAGCCCAGGACCTCTGCAGAACCAGGCCAAGACCAGGCTGGGGGCTCATTTGACTCCCCACAGGCCAACCCCTAAGCAGGCCCAGGTCAGGCTGGTGGGGGTGCTGTCCATGTTCCTTCTCTGCAGCCCTTCACCATCCACTGTTTTCTTAAAGATTGGTTTCACATGCAGTTTTAATTTCACCTCGTACAGCACACCTGCCATGTCCCCAGGTCCCTTTCTTCCCTAGTAGAGGCTGCACGTGAGGGGTTCTGTACAGGGACGAAGCCAGCAAGGCTCCAAGGAGGTACAGATCTGTGCGAGGGGGGGCATGTGTCCCATGTGTGTCCACCAGTTAGCTGGTGTGAATCTCTCTTTGTGATGGGGGGCGGGGATCTCTGTATGTCCAGGATGCGATGTGCTGGGTGTGTGTATACCCGCACGTGCACGAGGGTGGCTGTGTTCAGGAGTGCGTGCCAGGGGCACATCCTACCCCCCCCACCCCACCCCCACCCCGTGTCAGGGAAGGAGAAAAGGGGAAGATGACCATAAAAGGCCAGAGAACTGGAGCCTCCTGCCCCTCCTCCCTCCTATTTCACTGGGAAGGTAAGTTCTGGAGAGGAGAAGCCCACCACAGTTCCTCCCCTGGGCGGGCTAGAGAGAAGGACATCAGAGGCAGGCATCCCCTTCCGCTCCATCTCCCCCTTGCCCGCCCCCCCCCCCCCAGCCTCCAGCCTCCAAGAGGTGTGAGTCAGCAGTAGCCCCTGGCTAGAGCGGGGGGGGGGGGGGTGGGGGGGGTGGGGGTGGGGTGGGGGGGTGGGGGGTGAGGAGGGGGAGGGCAGGGGGGCCATCTGGCATGCTCAGTTACAAAATCTGCTAATGGAGCTTCTTCCTAGGCTAGCATCAGGCTGGGCCAGCCTTCTGTACTCCAAAACCCGGTACCCAGGTCCCAGAGAGTGGGGCTCCCAGGTTCCCATCACCCCTCCCCTGGAGGCCGGCTAGGCAAGAAGGAGCAACGCTATTTTCTAGATAAAGAAACTGAGGGCCAGACACATCATCTCGACTCATTACTAGAACAGCAAACACTTACTCAACACTCCCCCAGGGCAGGAGGTGTAAGCCAGGGCTGTAAACTAGCTCATTTATCTTCCCAGCGATGGAAGACAGGCACCGCTAGCCCCCATTTCACAGATGTGGAAACCGAGGCTGCGGGAAGTTATGCAATCTGCACAAGGCCACACAGCTACCAAATCGGAGCTAGAGACTGATCTGAGCCCAGGCTCACCGGGCCCCAGGGCAGCTGCCTGACCCCGATCTGCGTCTATACTCCACCCCACTGAGCTCCCGGCTAGGCTCCTGGCTAGGACTCTGCGAGTATAGGGAGGGGACAGAGAGGGGACTCGGGAGTCATGAAGGAGGGGCTGAGGGGCAGGCCTGGCGAGGATGTGAATACGGGTCGGGTCGCCCCAGTTTAGGCATTTTCAGGTCTGTATCTGCTCTGTCTGGGGAGCTCTGAGGTCTCCCTCGGGGCCCCTAAGGGCAGAAAGTCCTTGGGAGTCGCAGAGGAGGAAGAGGGGGCAGGAGGCTGGCCCCCATCGTGGTACATTTAGCCGAGGGCCCTTCCCTTCCTGAGGGGGCAGTTTGGTCCCTGTCGCTGGGCCAGCACCAGCCAGCCCTGCCTCTCCTACCTCTCCTGCCAGCCTCAGCCCTCCCCAGTGGGTGACAAGCTCCCTGGGAATGCCCTGACAGTGCCTTTGTTTCCCTGAAATAAAAGAAAATTGAGCTACAAAGGGAAACCTCAGGTAGCTTTTAACGGGGACTCGGCTGCCTGAGGCAGAGTGTGTTCAAGCTGGAGGCAGTTGTCACCGGCAGAAGGGGGAGCTGCCTGCAGCCCCCCCCCCACAATACCGTGATCGAGTTTACTCCAAGAAAAGCCTCTTCCAAAGAACAGTAAAGGAGGAAATCAATGAAAATTGATAGAGAAACGTAAAGCAGCTGTCCGCCGGGTGCCCGTGTGTGCGTGCGCATGCGCGTGTGTGTGCATGTGTGTGCGTGTGTGTGTGCATGTGTGTGCGTGTGTGTGTGCATGTGTGTGCGTGTGTGCATGTGTGTGCGTGCTCACACAGCAAAAGCCTGCTGCCTGGACCCAGGCTGAGCGCCAGGGCCGGAGGCCAGGGGCTGGGAGTCGCTGCAGCTGAGCCGCAGAGGGTGCGGGTGCTGGGGGAGGGGCCGCAGCCCGGGCTCCCTCGGTTAAGAGAGAGATTAATATATTCAGTGCGCTCGGGGTAATTGAGGGAACAATCGAAGTGTTTTTCTAAAGCCCATAAAACGGCCTCATTTGCAAGGAGGAGCTGCCTGCCCCCAATCCCGGTATTTGATGGAGCTGGGGAGGGAGGGGGGAGCAGGGGCGACCCCAGGGGCTGGGGACCGAGCCGGGAGGGGCTGGCAGGGCCGGGCTACCCAGTTCCCACGTGCTCACCTCTGTCCAGCCCGGCCTCTGCCTCCCGGAGCCTGGGTCCCCACCTGTGCAACGGGCCACGGGCGGCCTCCTGGCAGGAAAGTAGAAGGGGGCGGCAGGAGGGGGGCTGCTCTAGGTGGGGGAAGCCTACCTGCCGGGGACACCTAAGGCCGCCCGGAGGCGACGCCGAGCAAGGGGGAGGCCCATCTCCCCGCCCCCACCGAGCCGATCTGCAGTAAAGTTAATGAGACCCACATGGCGCGCCCTGCTCCCCGCGAACCCTTCCAGTCTCCGGGCCATAGAGGCTGCGTGTGCAACAGCGAGCAGTAAAAGGCACAATGAATTTAAAAGAGTAAAGAGGGAGGAGAGGGAGGACTTGGAGCCGCAGGCCGGCCGGAAGGGTGCAGGCTCAGGCCCCAAATGGGGGGCCTGCAGGGGCAGGGGGAGCGGAGGGCGAGGAGGGAGGAGAGGGACTGGGAGGGAGGGAACAAAGGGAGGGAGAGGGAGTCAGAGGTTTAAGGACTGAGGGCAGAGGGTACGCCGGGCCAGCCATTGCCATCTCCGTTCCCCTCCACTTCTCCTTAATGAAAGCCCCCAGCCGGTTGGTGCCAAAGC